GGGGTGGGGGGGAGTGGTAGGGAGGGGTTGTACTGAGGAAAGCAATGTGGATGGCAAAGGATCTTGAAAGGCTCTATAAAAAATGGCTGAAGGAACTGGTAAAATGTAGCCTAGAGAAGATTTGGGGAATGGGGAAAGATGGTGGGGCTAACTATCTTCAATTATTTGAAGGGCTATGATGTGGAAGAATTAGATTTATTCTTAATGCCAAAGGGCAGAACTAAAAGAGTCAGAAAAAGTACAAAGATGCCAATTGAAACTTGGTGCCAGGAAATTTAGAACTAACATTTAGAATTCAGAATTAACATTTGTCCTAACATTTAGAACTATCCAAAAGAAGAATATGTTGATTTTGGCTATAGTGAATTCCCCTTACTGAATGTCTCTAATCACAAGCTAGGTGAATTTTCTTTGGATTTGTTATAATGGAGAACCTTGGCCAAGTATGGATTGCACTATGAATGGAGGCCAAAATCCCTCTCAGTACTCAAATTCTCTATATGACTCTGTGTTAGCTACCCATCCTAGATTTATTCAATCTATATGTTTGATAAGCATACCATCTTTCACTTTATCTATGTCATCGATGACAATGTTAAATAATGTTAGAACATACACAGATTGGAGGAAACCTTATTCCACCTAAAACCTTTAATGATTACTCTTTGGGTTCAGCCAATTCAATGACTTCTGGATACATGATTTGATGAAGACAGATATTATTAACTCAATTCCTGTGAAAGAAGTTACTTTGTCTGAGTTGTCCACAGTTACATTGTTAGCAAATGGAAGAATCGTGACTAGAATTTAGATCTTCAGACCCCTTATTCAGTGCTTTTTATACCATACAATGAATGTTGCAATTTAACTGGTCCCCTTCACCAGTCAGGCAGATAGCTGGAAGAGTGGAGAGAATGCCAAATATGGAGTCGGGAAGACCTGTGTTCAAATCTCATCTCTGATACTACCTATAGGTCCTTGGGAAACTGATTGAACCTTTCTCATCCCGAATCTTTAAAATTAGGGTTCTTGCCTCAGAAGGTGATTGTGAGGATTAAATGTAATGATATATGTAAAGTATTTTGGAAACATTACATTAATGAATTATATAAATGCTAATGATAATTACTATTGCCTCAGTGGATTTTCTCAGCTCCAAGCCAATACGAAGAACACATTGCTCCAATTTTCTCTCCAGGCTCTCCTTTTTCTTTTTTTAACAGTTTAAGCTACTCTTATTGTTGTTTTAGTTAAATCAACATTTTGTAGAAAACTTTGCTATTTGCTTCAGGGGAATAGCCTCTATCATGTGGAAAGAAATAGCATGAGTCAAAGCATAGAGTTGGGAGCTTTAAGACATAGTAAATGGATGGAGAGTGCATCTGTGTTTGTTTTTTTCTTGGTGTAGAAGGGTAATGGGGCGGGGTGGGCCACAGAATTACCTGAGAGGCAAACAATGAAAACATATTCATGATAAGTTAAGGAGTTTTGATTTTCTATTTTGATCCTTTCACTTAAAGCTTTGTTGGTAGTGGTGGCATGATTCAAGTTATGTTTAGGGAATATCAATCTGATATTGACTGTGTTACATGAATTGGAGTGGGAAGAGGTTAGAGAAAAATAAGATAGGATTCCTCCATTTCTTGATCTGTAAAATCGGGAGTTGGGCAAGATTCAGTCGGACACACAAGTGTTAGATACTGTGTTAGATACTGGGGATATAAAAATTGAAACACCCATCCTTCTGGCAAGAGGGCCTTTAAAACATGGACACAGATAAGTAAATACAATGTAGTTTGAAAAAGAAGGCAGGGTAGGAGTGGGGAAACAAGGAAAGAAAAATAGGATTCTGAAAATTGAAAGAGTATATTAGCATATTCAAGTCATGGTGGATGGCTTTATCACAGAGAATTTTTTTTAACACCTAGAAATGATGAATAATAGAACCAATAGTTTCCCCCGCCCTGAATTCCATTAGATAAAGAGAGCAAATGTCTATCTACATAGATCAAATTAAAAGGAGGAGTACCACTTAACAGTACACAGTGATGCTTATTTATCATGAAGCTTGTCATGAGTAATCCTGTTGGGACATTTGCTGAGCTTTCCATTTGTGCTAACTTGAAAAAGCCACATAAAATCCTGCTAATCAAGATGGAAGGTTGTTTCCTCTTTTGTAATTCTATCTCTTCCATGTAAGAATGAGGCACCTTGGCCCATTCATACAAGCTAGCAACATGAGTGCATAAAGGAAGTGCTCCACTCCAAAACTCTTTATAAATAGATGATGACTATGTAAAAAAAAATTACCTTTGGAGAGATGATATATAATTTATGCATTTGCCTGACAGCTTTCTATAACATTTTTAATGCGTTGTGATAGGCTTGTAAGTAAAATACAGAACTGAAACCTAAACCTTATACGGCCTAACTTATGTGACAAAAAATAAAAATTATGGGAATACAGCATCATGGCTCTAGGACTAGGAAGGAATTTCAAGGCCAATGAGTCTAATCCCCACCCCACCCCTGCCTATTTAGTAGATAAACTGAGGTACAGGGAAAAGTGACATGCTTAGCATTACACAGGTAGTGAACTGTTCAAAAGTACACAGTATTTAAACTGGAGTCCTCTGTCTCCCAATCTGCCTATTACACATAAGCACATTTATCTCACTTTATATACTTAACCATAATATGGATACATAGATATCCACACATGATGGAGAGACACTGTGGCCTGGTAGAAATTGTGCTGAGCCTATGGTTAGGAAACCTGGGTTCAAATCCTGCCTCCAACTCTAGCTGTGTGAACATGGGAATAACCCTTAAACTTTTTTCAACCTCATATCATCTAATAGAGATAACAATCTGTGCGGCCCACTCCCAAAGTGGTTGTGTGTGTGTATGTGTGTGAGAAAACATAAATTTGGCACATGTAAATGACAATAGTTATTATTTTAATAAAATCATTAGTCTTTTACAACTTCAGGATACTCATTCTTTTTGTGGGACATTTAAAATATAAAGCAGTTAGACATCTCTTCAAGGGGAAGCAAGAGAAATATCGGAAAGGTATTACAATACAGGGCATAGCAATATTCTGCATTCGAATCCATTAGAAGTTATCTTAGTCAAAAAGAGGAAGGAAAAAATACAATTTATTTAATTTCCATCTTATTGGTGAAAAGCTTTGACTAGATGGGAGGGAAAAAAATGTTCTTTCTAAAGGGTTCCTATGAAATCAGTCGTACCTCAGAGGGGACTCCTGACTATTCAGCATTTTCAAGAGAGAAAAGAAACAATGTTTTTTCCTGTGCCCCTGCAGTGTCATGAAAAGCTCAGCACGCAGACAGTTTGCATTACCAGCAATACCAAAGGAGGAATATGAGAATGCAATTATAGCAATTTCTTTGTCACTGTTCCAAGGGAAATGAAGGGACAGAAGAGGGAGCTGGGTTTCCTAGAGCCCCCAGCATTGGGATAACTCACACCTGGTTACTCATTTCAGAATCCTGACTGTCTGAAGTGGATGCTGGCGATCAGAAGTGGGGGATGGGAATGGGTGAAGGGGAGGCAGGACGTCCTCCTGGATGGAGTAGAAAAAGGACCCCAATTAAGAAAATTCCGTTGGGCACCTGACTTAATTTCGTTTCTAGATCAGCTCCTGTTCTCTATTCCCTGCACACCCACCCCACACCCACCCAACAGATGCTACTATCCAATCATTATTTTTACAATATTCTTGCCCCAGGCTTTACATGAAATAACATGAAAGCCCCTCCCTCCAACCTCCATCTCATTTCCTCAATCACATCAAATACATCCAAAGTATTTTCCTTTCCACTTCCCGTTTCAATTTAGAAGATCACAGATCCTGAACTACAAAATACCTGCAAGCAGGCTAGCTAAATATCTCCCTTTTACCATGAGAGAATTAAGCCTTAGGATAATTAAGGGACTTTTTATAGGTCACTCAACAAGCATCAGAGGAAGAATTTGAACCCATATCTGTGTTGAGACCCAATGCTCTTTACCCCCATCTCTTGTTGGTATATGAGCAGGGGGTTTGGGGTGTGATGCAGAAAATGAGGGAAAAGAGGGGGGTGGAGAATTCTAAGTTAGGTGTCCAACAGAATTTTCCTGATTAGGGTGCTTTTTTATATGTCACCCTGAAGACACACTACCACCCCCTTGCCAAGTAAAAATAATCCTGAGGATAAGCCTGGCTTGGTTACTCATGTCTTAAAGCCAACCCTAAGCCCCAGATAGCAGATACCACCCTAATTGTGAGCCCTTGATGGGATTACACCCAGTTCTCCAAAACCCCCAAGGATCTTCTTTCTTCCACACCACTAAACCCTTTTATTCTGACCTTCCAACCACAACGCTCTCTATAAATACCTAAAAACAGGTCAGACAGACACTAATGGCTTTGGAACACAAGACCCACTCAAAGGTATTTCCTTCTAAAAGGAAAAGGGAACTTTGACTCCAGCTAGATATGATCCCATAGCATCCCTTCCCCTCTCCCTCCTGTTACTACTATTTGGCCAACGTCTTTAAAAGACTCCCCTACCCCCTGGCAGGGGGATTACTGTCAGAAACCAGAAACAGTAGGCAAAGGGTGTTTTTCCCAGCACTCATCAGATCTGCTGAACAAGATCGGGTTACTTTTCATAGACTTGGTCAGGATGGTGGGCTCCAAGGGGGATCGTAACAGGGGGAAGCCTTTTTAATCCTTTTCTGTGTGTTCATTTCAGTTGGTGAGGAGGGGGGTGGGGAACAAAGGGAGAAAAGGGAAAGTTGCCATCTTCTGGGAAGTCTCCATTCCATGCCCATTACTGTTCCCATGGGGTTGGCAGGTCTTGAAGTTGAGTAAGTCTGCAAAGAACTTAAAAACACAATAGAAGGGCTTCCCTCCACTCCCACCCCCCACCCCGATTTTTTTTTTCTTTTCCTGCTTATAAATGCCTTCCTCGAGACTGAAGCTGGGCAGGACTCCAAAGGAGCAAAACAACAGCAATCAGCTAGTTGATCAAAGTTAAGCTGCCAATTGCACAACTTTGAGCAACTCTCCTGGCTGGGCTGTTAGGGAGCTGAATCAACCCAGGAAGATCTGAGGAGGAGGGTGGAGGAAGGGGACCTCCACAGCCTTCCCCCCCCCACACACACCCCAATTCCGACAGACAGACAGACAGACAGAACTCCAGCTTCCTTTGGGATTGTTGATGTTAGCAATCTGCTCCAGAGATCATGGCTCCCTTTGGAAGAAACTTGTTAAAGACTCGGCATAAAAACAGGTAAAGCATTTGTGTGTATGTGTGCCTGTTTTTCTTTTAATCCTCTCTCTCTCTCTCTCTCTCTCTCTCTCTCTCTCTCTCTCTCTCTCTCTCTCTCTCTCTCTCTCTCTCTCTCTCTCTCTCTCTCTCTCTCTCTCTCTCCTTCCTTCAATTTCCCTTTCTGGAGAGAAAAGCTCCTGGGGAACCAAGAAGACAAAAATCCCTTACCCAACAAGGGCTCACTCAAAACTTACAATGTGGGGAGAATATTGTTAGAATATTTTGATCAAAGGAGACTAGACTAGAATATGAGAAAGAGCAGAAAAAGGAGTAATGTTTCCCACTCTCCTCTCCTTTCCTCCTTGCCCATTTGCTTATCCAACACGCTTTGTCTTCCTTCCCCAATCCCTCACCTACATCCCAACAGGATATTTTAATAAGGAAATATGAAACATACTCACTTAATGTTCCCAAAGATGCTGACATGGTTTATGCCCAGGCAAAAATCTAAACTGGGGCTTTCTCAGGTTGGAATTTTGATACAAATACAATAGGGCTCATAATAACTGATTAAGACCCTCAAATATACCACTGCTTATAAAATCTATTATAATTTTTTTTTTAGGATCTAATAAGCGAGACTTTCCTAAAACTTGGTGGGGGGGGCAGAGAGGGGTTTCCTAATGGAAAATGTAGATTTAAATAGATTTTCATTGTATGGACTGAATCTTTGAGTTTTTAGAACTTTCTACGTGGATGGTGGAAACCAGTTGTCTGCTTATCTTGTTCTTCCCGCTCTCTTACCTTTGATTTGCTCTGCTATTTCCAGTCCATTATGCAAAAGGAAGAAATCCAGTTTAAAAAATGGGTGTGTATATACTTTGAGCTGGAATGCATGTATCAGTATCTATTAAAGTGGTTTCCCTTGGATGTTCACTTTTTTAAGGTAGAAAAAAAATCTCAGGATAATTTTAGATACAGGTTTTATTTTTTTGAAAGTATTTACTTTGGCATGGGCACTTTTCCACTACTTTTCTTCCAATCGTACCTGCTTCTACATGTCACCATTTACTTACTGTAAATTTAGAAAGCACACAATTACATGGTAGGAAATAGTATAATTATTTTTAAGTGTCTCTTTGGAATTATGGACTGATAAAATGTTAATGCAAATTTCCAGTCTTTGATTTCCAAACTGGAAAATGTAGTTCTTTGAATAAGTTTGCCCTGTGATTCTAACTCTACTACTCTTTTGATTAACTGAAATTCTCTTAAACAAAGCACATCTCTCAAAAAAAAAGAAAAAAATCTTCAGCTTTTTAAAATGTCTCCACCATAGTTTAACCAGGATGGAGTTTCCTAGTAATTAAACAAATCCTTATCTATTCATTAACTAAGACAATGAAGTGCTTTGAACATGGTTTAATCTTGTTACTGGTTATTCTCATAATTAATTTATTGTGCTAATCATGGTAATGTATAAGAAGAATCCATACAACGAAAAGCCACTACTGTTTTTACAAAGTAATATCGGTCAGTAGGAATTTGAGGTGATTCAATTTATATTAAGTACTGTCAAATTATATCGGTGCCACTTGTAAAAAAGTTCACTAATTCCAAACTTAGTCAACAGTTTAGAGAAGCATCTTTATATGCACCCCAGTAATGATCTATTCACTGAGATTCATTCTCCATTGTCATTGTACCAGTGTTAATACTGGACCAACTACTTTGTAGACATATAAACCTGCTTCCTTTGAAGAAAGTAAGTCCACAAAGCTCTTTAAAGATGAAATTTTCAATGCATAGCAATAATGAAAAGGTGAAAGTCCATTGCAAAATAGGGGGATTTCATTTTGGAGTGTCTTTGACAAATTAGAATGTCCCTCCTGATGGAGATGCTTTGTCAGGGATATAGCATTATTGGCAAAGGTGGCATATTGACAATATATGGAAATTTGCTCTACTAAGACAAAGGTTCACTTTCCTTTGAAGACTTTTTTGTGTATGACATATATATATATATATATATATATATATATATCTTATATATATATATATATATATATATATATATATATATATATATATATATTTAAAGTAGTGAAACCACAACATGTCTAGGGTTAATTTGAAGAGACGAATATTCTGATATTTCAAACTGAAAATGGGGAATATGCCACATAGGCACAATGCAGTAATTTACCAGTAATGACCCTTCCCTTTCCTGAATTGTTAGGAATACAATAAATAACTTCCATAGCTAGTAGAGGGGAAACTGCTGATGAGATGGACCTGGTTGAGTTCATCTGTTGATTTTTCCCAGGTTCCTGTGTTTTTTTGGCTTTGTGAACAAGTTTTGTTCTGCAGATAGAAACCAGTGACTATTCCTAAAATGAAGATTGCACAGGGATGAAAAAAAAAAGGAAACATTCTCCTTTCCTATGATATGCAGATTTCAACAGAAAATACATTAATTATACAATAGCTGATTTGGGTTAACTAATTCATAATAGTATAATTAACTAAATAATGGGCTATAACTATGCCGTATTCTGACTGCTAATGAGTGCATACCATATTTCAGATTTTTTTTTTCACTAGGTCTATATTTTCATTAGGGCAGCTAGGTGGTGCACTGGATCTAATGCTAGGCCTAGAGTCAGGAAGACTCATCTTCCTGAGTTCAAATGTGACCTCAGACCTCAGCTTTGTGACCCTGGGCAAGTCACTTAACCCTGTTTGCCTCCATTTCCTCATCTGTAAAATGAGCTGAAGAAGGAAATGGCAAATCATTCCAGTACGTTTGCCAAGAAAACAAACAAAAAAGCACACAAAAACAAAAAACAAATGTGATCATGTTTAGTCAGATACAACAGCATGTGTATTTTATACATTGTTGTATTAAATGCTTAGATAATATCAAGTAAATGTATGTGCACTGAGATATCTGGTAAAAAAGTAAATTGAAAGGAGAACTCAACTATAATTTTTTCATTATTAGCAGGAGAGAGGAGAGGAGGAGAGATGAAGAAGAAGGAAGAGGGAGGGAAGAAGAACAGACAGGGAGAAGAAGGGGAAGATGGAGGGGGATGAGGATAGCAGATATGATACTAGAGATTTTAATGCACACCATACCTTTTAGACTTCTGCCTTCTATATTAACTACATTTCACATGGGATAAAAATCTAAATATTCTGAAAAGAGAACATGAGAAATGAGTTTATTGAAAAAGGTAGTGAAGTAAGTGAGCCTTCCAAATTTGGTAATAAAGGACTGGCCTTTTGGAAGCAAATCGTAATTAGCACAAAACTAAAAAGGCTTGTACTTTGTAGAATATGGTACGAACATAAAAGCTATTTTATTAGCTATGTGCAAGGTAAACTTAGTTCTTAACACAAAGAAGCTAATGTTTCATAAAGTATCAGTGAGGTTTGATACTTAATATCATACAAAGCCTAAAGGGAGACAGAGAATTCAATGGATCTGGAAACAGAGCTACTATTTAATACCAGCAAGCAAACCTTTTTTTTTTTTCCCCTTTCAGTCACATCAGGTCAAGAGTCTGGGGGAAAATTATGGAGAAATTCTCAGTACTTTAAAATATCATTGCATTGATTAAACTCTTCACAGTATCCATTCTTAAGAATTAAATCACCTTGATAGTGAATGAGTAACCTTTATTTTAATTCAAAAGTCTTTAATCCGGCTTTAAAGAAATCCACTAGCTTTTGAATCTTTCAATTGCAAAATAATTTAACAACGGAATGCATAAACTGGAAAATTATAATTGAATAGTATTTCAAGCAAGGTAGCATATGATAGGAGAAGTGGAAAGGAGGTGGGGAATACTTTGTTTTTCACACTAAGCCTTTGCGAAAGAAAGAGAGAGAGAGGGAGGGAGGGAGAGAGAGAGAGAGAGAGAGAGAGAGAGAGAGAGAGAGAGAGAGAGAGAGAGAGAGAGAGATATTTCCATTCTCTACTTATGTAACCAAGAATCTTCCCTAAGAGGATGAGTGTGAATTTCAGAATATCTCTTTGGTCTTTTGAGATGTATTCTTTCTTTGGCTATGAAACAATAAAATGCTCTGTGACTGAATCCCAAAATTGATATGTATCTCTCTAAGCAGATCTCAGGTCATAGTCAAGAATGAAGAAGGCAGAGAGGTTGGAGCTCTCCTTTCCAGTAAATTATTCAAGTCCCTAATGAGTAATAAATCTTCCTGAAGATGTTTCCCCCCTTGTTTGAGGTAGCTGGGTGGCATCTATGGCTCATGTAAAGTAAGTAAGCAACAGAAAACTTGTTGGCATCTAGCCATTCAATAACTGGACATATAATCAGGGAAGAGATGGAATTGCCAAAACACACCAATGAACATTTTTGGGTTCTTAGCTAACAGACTCTCAAAATTGCATCGTAAAAGGTAACAGTTCATTTAGATTAGATTTTTTACAATAAAATACTGTTTTTAAAAAGATGATTCTCAGTATCATACATAAGCTCTTTAAAATGTATATTTAGATATACACCTATATCTATATCCATTTCTACATACCTATATTTCTGTGTCTCTGTCTACATGTCCATAGCTATATCTATATATCTATGTCTATGTCAGTGTCCATGTCTGCTTCTGTCTACCTTTGTTTCTATATCTAATCAGTCAATAAGCATTTATTAAATACCTACTATGTGCAATGCACTGTGCCAAGCTCTGAGGATATAGAAAGAAGCAAAATATGGTTCGCCACCTTCAAGGACTTCACAATCTAATGCATTACCTAAAATATATCTGTGTCTATATCCACCTCCCCATATGTCTAGTATATTGGATTGTCACCATAAAATCAATTGTGAGGTACTTGCTGAAAAACTGGTCAATGGTCAACTCATTAAATGAGTTCCTCTGGCACTTTAATCCTAACTGTTCACATATCACTTGAAGGATCTACTACTATCCTTACAATATAAAGCAAAAGTTAGGAAGGCTTTTCTTGCATTTATGGTGGACTCCCTGTA